AAAAAAAAAAAAAAAAAAAAGGAAAAAAAAGAGGCTGTACCACCATCAGGGAACAATTTTACTATCTACTTCTCTTACCCACCACTGATTTCCAAAGCTACAATAATTTGTACTGACAGGATCCCTGTCAATTCAAAACAGTATGAGTTAATGATACTGATTTCCGTCTGGTCCTTCTTGAAAAAGATACCAGCAACAATAACACCACTGCTAGCTTCATTCACAGTAGCAGAACAACTTCAGTAAGTGAATTAACATTTTTAAAATTATGATTCAAAGAACCAAACTTTTTCAATATACAACCCCCAAATACTGGATGGCTTGACACCTGCATCAGATGATCATTTTTACTCTTCATCACATTGTAGTGGATTTCAAGATCCTAACATTGACTAATTCTTAATAACTCCAGAATAAAATTAAAATTATTTTCATACTGGCCAAAAATATCATTTACAGCACTGCTATCACTATTTGATTTACAGCACCATCTTTGTATTGAATAATTAGCAGTACTAATGTAATGCAAACTGACAGAGTGCAGTACAAAATCTAGCTCTCTACAGTCAAGTAAAGTAACTGTTCCTTAAACGCTGTCATTTCAAGTTCTTACTTTCTGTCTGGCCCCTGCCAAACCTAGCTCACACAGGCAGTCCTGATTTCAGTAGGACTATCTATTGAGTGAGGTTACTCACACAAAAAGGAATCTGCAGGTCTAGACCCTTCCATCTTGATTTATAAGCATGAAGCACATGAGTCTAGCAGGAATTCAACACTTACGCTTCCACAGTTGTTCTTACAGTCTGTTCCTCACCATCTTCATCTGAGCTGCTACATGTTGCATCGGAGTCCAGATCCTTCTCCACGCGAGACAGCAGCCCTCCGGTAGAAAGTGCAAACCCCCGGATTTCACCTGGTGCAATGCTAACTCCATTCTGTACGTCCGTACTCAAACCGCTCTCCAAAGTAGTTGTGTTTTTTTCTGGCCAACCTTCAGCGCACCTGAGGGAACTACTGCTCAAAAATCTGGTTGGCTCATGGAAAACCTTCATTCTTTGTAGCTGATGTTTCACGAAGCATTTCAGCTGCTGATCACAGTGTTTGATAACATGCTTTGCCAGGAGCATTTGTAAACGCTTCTGAGTTCTTTTGGCACGACTGATTTCCATTTGTTGCTTAGTGACACACTGGAGTAAGCGAGCATACACCTCCTCCGGGGTGCAGCTCAAAATCCCTTCTGAAGGCCCGTGAAGAATTTGGTGTAATAAATCCCCTTTTATTGTTTCAGCGCAGACTTCCAAAGCCCTACCCAAAAAACCATTCTTCTTGTACCATTTACCATTTAAAAGCTGCATTTCTTCTGCATTACTGGATTCAGTTACATTTGAATTCGAAAGTCTCTGCATTTCTGCCAAATTCGGAGATGTGGTCTCTGAAAACGTTTCCCCTTTGACCTGTTCCTCAGGTTCCGAATGACTAATCTGACCAAATGATGTGTCAGCACCATTATGTAATGAATTTCTCATCTTGGAGCAGTCGGGCTCTCCCGCTTTCGTTTGCTTACTGGTTTTGTTGCTAAACGCAGAATTTGTACTCATTAACAAGACAGACTGATAGCGGTTGGAGGATGGTGGAGAACCAAAATGCTGCACACTGAAGATATCATTCCTGAGGTTGAGGTTGGGCTCAGCAGTGGGGAACCCCAGGACTGAGCAAGTAATCTGTGCGATGGAGTCCTCTTTTATCTTCTCTTCCACTGCTCTGGAATTTTCCATGCACAAAGCTGTATCAGACTCCATAGCTCTAGAGGACAAAGAAGGTGACAAGTGGATACCATGACCTTTTGTTGCTGCCTCTCTGAGGGCCGGTGTCATTATAGCTACGGTAGGTAGTTTACAGCAAACCTGAAAATAACATGGGCCATGTAAGTTTTCTCATTTTCGTGACACGGTACAAATACAACAACTCTGTCAGATATTTCATTCTTTCAACATTATTCAAAGATTCCATAAAAAAGGACATTATCTAAAGAACATGGATAGACTACGCTCCCTCCCAAGTCTAACAAGAACACTCTTTCTGTTTTTTCTTTATTTCATTTAGAGGTTGTTCTATGTGCAATGAAAGCCTTTACCTCTCAGGGGAGTAAGAGTTCATACCTCATTGCATTTCTGATCCTATCAGTCTGAGAAATAAGACTCACAAAGTTCAAGACTGCCATCTAACCCTGCCCAAAGTGAAAAACATGACCATAAGCCATGTGACTGGAAGGATGCATTTTAAAAATACGTGTGCGAGTGTATGGATATGTATATGCACGCAGAGACACATATCTACACATTCCCACCCCAGAACTCTGGCTGGATTTTTTTTTCATCTGCTCTGGAGAGAAGTTACTTTTTGAGTTGTATTTGGTTTTCATTCATGTATTTTTTTTATACTTAAATGAGTCAACACCAACAGTATCACAGAAATGGGAGCTATGCAGCTACCTATTACAAGTTCAGCAAAGCAGAACACCTACCACATGATGAAACACTCTGAAATAAACTCAGAGGCACTATTGGGAGAAATAGATTTAATGTAAATCTATATAAAGCAAGCATTTGATTAATTAATTTATTATATATTCTCACAAATACACTGTAGAAACCAATCACCGTGGCTAATGCTTTAAAAACAGAGAACTGTAAGTTCTAAATGTTTGCTAAAAAACAATCTTTCCTGTGCCTTTGTATCCAGTAGTTCTTTATTCATCAGGCACTGCCTGCACAATACAAACACAATATTATTTGATAACAATTTGAGTAAAGACAGTTTTCCTTTACAAACCCCTTTGGCTGTGACTTGCCATAGCTTAGATGAAGGGTTCCCAAACTTTGGGATCAAAAGACCAGTGTCAACCTTCACCACTTCTTGTCAGCAGCTACGCGACCATGTCATACTGTATCTATTCCACAGTCTACAGAGCAGGAATCACTGCTTTACACTGTACTTTCAGCTTTGTTTAGGAGACAGTTAAATAAACCCAATGAAAGATTTTCTTGAATACGGCCTGCAGAAGCCTGAAAGATAAGCTACTGTCAGTTCTTCATTAAGAAGCTAGAGACAAAACCAGAAACAGTAAGAGAGTAGTAGAGAAGTGAGTGTAGCACAGTAATTCCACAGTAAATTCTCTGTTTAACCAGTGTACTAGTTGAGCAGCATTTCCATTGCCCTCCTTTTAATGTCTTCAGTTTCTTTGATCTCCACAGCAACTGCCTAGCTCAGCAATTTTCAACGCACAGATCCCATAAGGGGTCAATGATTCTGCGACTGCCACATATGGATCTTAAGAAAAGCAAACTCCTTGTCTGAAGAAGCCTTAGCTTGTTTATAACTACAGGTTTTATGCTGAAGGTGCAAACGTTAAAGGGAGATTTGAAAACCTAAGGAGCTGAGAAGTACCAGTCTGGATACTTTCTCCTTAACCCTCAAAACATGGAGAAAAACATCAAGAGCCACATGCTCCAGTACTGCCTTAACGCTCTCTGTATGCTTTATTCACCTTTCATTGCTCCACGTATACTTCAACCATGAGGTTTTCATCTCTGTACATCACCTACCCAGCATCACAGGGACCAGATTTGGTGGTCCTAATGCTAATCCTAAATGATACTATTAAAATCCCCAGGATTTTAACCTTTATCAACGAGCCAATAACTTCAGACTATAGAGGAATTCAGCACAAAGTCCTCTCCAGCGGATAGCTGTTCAGCAAGAGCCCCGTTACTAGGATCGGACAGGGAAATGCACTGAGAGCTGAAGCCCCAAATCACAAAGGCTCTGGTGACTTGGCAATGCTCTCAGCATCTGGCTGACTCGTGGCTTTGTGTCTTTCCACTCTTCTAAGAGCTAGCAGGCACAAGAATTTTTAAATCCAAAGTAGTATGGATTCAGACACCTATGCCTCCCCTGCTCTCAGCATATGGCAAATAACTATAGTAAAGTCAAAGTGATTTAGCATGGCTAAAACATAAGGGGGAGAGAACTGAAGCCCACACTTTCTCTGTGGGGTTACTATGAACTCAAGGGGGTCCCCATGTTAGATCTGTCCCTGGGAATTCCAAAAAGTGCTCTCAGAAGAATGCTGTCAGCCCAATATCTACCTAGACTGAGCAATGAGTTTATAACTGTTCCAACTTTACCATCTACCTTCATTATCTGAGTGGTTTAACAGTCATAGATTGCTACTCCTGAAAGCCAGGAAACATCCACATACAGTAGAGCTGCTGCTCCTCAAGCAAACAAGAAGTTTGGAGATGTGTATCTCATACCTGTATGAAGATGGAGGCTATTCAAAAAACTGGCAGCACAAAATTTTCAGAGTGCTGTGTTTTAACTTGATCGTATTTCCTCAAATACTACATAACCTTCTGGTACAGTTTCAAGTTTCCTAAATTGCAATGAATACCATTAGCAAATTATTTTAAGTTTTTTTGAGTTTGGGGGACTTCTTTTCCCCTCTTTTAGCGGAAAGAGGGGAAGAAATCAAAGTACCCTCAAACTGAACCACAAGCATTGAACTAAAGAGCACCGACAAACCACTAATTAGGAGTTCCTGACAGAAGATGCTTAAACTACAATATAGCTAAAAAAATAAATAAAATGCTTTTGAAGAGAAAAATCGCTCAATTAACCCCTTGCCCAGCAACTTGCAAACTTCACACAATGTTTCTGCTCTGCAGACAGTCGTGTGAGACACTTCAGGTGTGTTCCTCTCATTTCAGTGACATCAAAAAGACTTTATAAAAGCTGGTACTGTCCCAGTCTCCAGTCCTTGGCATTTCTCAAAGAAGTTCACGCACACACATGAAAAGTCATTGGTATATGAGCAAAACAAAGTATCAGCTGCAAAAAGATTAAAAACAAATTTTAGTTCAAGTACTTGGCTTGACGAGAATTGTACCATTTTCATTTTGACACATTTTATTTCATTTTGGCAGAAAGCAAAAATAATTTCACTCCACCCTTACTGGAAGTGAGTTTCCAGAGCCAAACCTATTATCTTCGGGGGGCGGGGGGGAAGTGCAGAGGGAGGGAAGACAAGTACTGCAACATGGTATTCAGGAACAGTCTGTATTTTCATTCTGGGAAAAGTTTTTTGTCATAGGTAAACCATTTCAAGGATTTTTTCCATTGTGTACTACTTGAGGTTTCAAAACCAGAACAGCTGAAATGCTACTAAACTGGCAAACAGTTTGCTCCTCATCTGCTGAATATGCACTCCACTTGAAAGAGCGTAAAGTATTGTAAAACGAAAAGCTGACGTAAAATAAGTACTGGGGAAGGGAAGAAACAAGTACCAGACACACACAGTACAGCAACTGACGTTTAAAGTGACTTTATGCTTATCCTCCCCTAATGCCTTAATTACCCAGGAGGATACAGCCCAGAATTGCAGTTTACCACAGCCGAAGCGCTCCCCCGACCCCGCACCCGGCTCCCTTCTCTCAGCACAGCTATGGGTCCCTAATCCACCAATGACCCCTGCTCCTCTACAGCTCCTCTCCCCCCTGCTACCTCTGCTTATTTCTTAGTCCTTACTCGACATTTCCATGTTATACCCTTCTCTACCAGGCCTACCTCAACGGAATTTGTCTAAATCCTGAAACTAGTGTCTTCATGTTGGTAATTTGCAGCACCCTTTTAAAATAAACACAACAAAACCCAAACAACCACAAACCTGCCTGCACACAGGGTGGCATTCCCTTCCCAGCTTTTGTTTATAGTCCTTTCACTTTTTGACTCTTCCCCCCCTTGCATAACACTATCACTTTTGTTACACAACACTGCAGACAATGTTTTGGGGGATTTTTGCTTGGGGGAAAGATTGCTTTGTCTTTTAGTGGGTTTTTTGTTTGTGACCTTTTCATTTTCAATTACAATAAAACTCCATTTGAATGAGGGTTTGTACGGCTCCTCTGTACCAGCCTTCTCTCCTTGTAAATTGAGTCGTCTTCTATCATCCCAAACACCGGAAACTTTCTTGTTAATAATGAGATTCCTGGAGACCAGGAGAAGATTTTTCCATTTACTATTTTTTTTTTGCTTTCAAATTCAGGGGCCTTCAAATAACATTTCAAATTAATACAGCTGTTTCCAGTTTATTCATAGATTAACAGTGTTTCAGATAAGCGAACTTCCAATGTTTATTCCTTGTCTAGAAGGCATTTCAAAAGCAAAGCAAAGTCACTGGCAGCAGACAGCATCTGGTGAAACACCCAAAATTAAGCTCAGCAAGAATGTTCAAAAATACTGTATTTCAAACTGACAAGAGATGCTTTAAGGCCTCTTAGAGAAAACCTGCAGAAGAGATGGCAGCTACATGAGCAACCTTGATCTGCCTACAACACAACTGACAAAATCTGGTTTCCTACAGCTTTGTGTTGTTTGCCCCATAATGCCTAGCTCCTCTTGGACAGCCTTCCTGATAATCGCTGGACAAAAATAAAGCGGTGCTCTGGCAGACAGGCACTACTGCAGCACTGCTTAGCTGTGCTGCCAGAACCAAGAGCCACCACTGAGCTGAGCATGCAGGAGCTGACTTTGGCCAGCTTCTCCAAGTCTTGCCTGGTGGGAGGCATCCACTTGGGTATACTTTACCTACCTCTCCCAGTTTTGTCAAAACTTACAGGATCATCATAATTTCTAAGAATAGAGAGAACAGCTCAATAGCACCTCACAGAATAGTTTGCAGCAATGACTGCAAAAGAAATATTGGTCCCACTGGGTATGTCCTGGTTAAGAGTATGAAAGAAAAAGGAAAGAAGTCTGTATTTAACACACCTGGGACTAGCCTTCAAGGAAAAAAAAAAAAAATCATCTCAGTAGACAGCTTTTTTTCAGTTCAAAAGCAGC